TGGGACGTACCTATAAAAACTATTAAAAATAATTTTTTGATAAAATATAATGATCAAAATAACCATGATAACTTTTAGGGGTATTTTAATTATTTTATTTTATTGGGGCAATCTTAACCATCTGGGGCAATCTTAACCCTTCATTCAGAATGGAGGTTTGGATAAGGAAAAATATATAAGTTTTATGTTGTAGTTCCATATCTGACCTCTTTTTCGCTCACCTCACACCCAACTCTTTCTCATACCTCTCAACCAATTCCTAAATAGTGTTGAGACCTTGAGCCGTCCTTTAAGAAGCTCTTAAACACGTCATAGTGTTAAGACCTCCACGTCATTTTCTTTTTCAATCAAAAGGTCTAAAAAGGAAAGCTTATGTTTCCCTACAACTAAGTTCTATGTTCCCCCTTTATCCAACCCTTCATGTTTTTAATGAAGGGTTGAGATTGCCCCAATTTATTTTTCTTTTTAATTTTTTTTCTATAAACTGCTTTGACACCGCATTTTGTACGTCCATTCCTATATTAAACTCGCACCAGCAAAAAATATATAAAAAATTATTTTCAATAAAATAAAATGACCAAAATACCCCTAGAAGTTTCAAGGGGTATTTTGGTCATTATTTTTATCGAAAAATTATTGTTAATATTTTTTTTATAGGTGAGCCCCAATGAGAAGATGGTACGTACAAAATTTTATATTCAAAAAAATTGTATTAAAAAAAACTAAAAAATAAAATACTTTGAGACGTCGGATCTAAGATCAAACGGTGAGTAGCTCTCTTGATAAAAAATGGATGGCTGGATGGTAAGGGGAACATAGAACTTCTATGTTGTAGAGGGAACATAGAAAGCTTTCCCCTAAAATAAAGACTTTACTATTGTATCCCCTATCCGTAACTAAAAAACTAATTTAATCCTCTAAGTCATTAGAGCCTATTTAACGAATTATAATAAATGTAATTACATCAACATCTCTAAAATAAAAAATTTAAACAATAACGTTGCTTCTACATCGAATTCCCTAGTTCGAGAATCAAGTTTTGAAGTGGGTTAAGATGAATCCTTCCTTAAACCCATAGTCTCGTCAACCCTGAAGACCTTGTTATGATCTTAATACATGATTCAAACTTTCAAATCTCTAGATAGACAACTACTCGATATGATGTATGTTCATTATCAATCTTTTTATCTATAAAGTAAGATACGTCTTTATCATCAACCTCCATGCTTTTTTAATAATTCTTAATCATATTCACATAATCCTTACCAGCCTCCACCTTTTGTGCCTCCTCCATCCTCAACTTCTCTCTTTCTTCCTGTAAATTCTCTCAAGGCTTTGGGTCAACCTCTTACATTTTTCTGCTCTCCATGGATGAAGAAATAAAATATCTCCACTGCTCGAGAACTGTCTTTCCTTTCATCATGTTCTTCATCTAACATAGGACCTTCATCAAAGTTGGTGTGGCCTATGACATCAAGAAATGGTTTTTTCAATCGAAGATCCAATCTAACTTATTCATCAGCTTCAACTTATTCTTCAGCTTCAACTCGTTCTTTATAAAAAATTGGATCACCCATGAGATCAAAGCCATCATCAATGGCGAATTCAAAACCACTTACCTGAATTGCGGGGGAAATCCTCATCAGCTTGTGAATCATCTCCCATCACAACATCGTTGATTCGTTGTTCTTGACGCAAGGCTTGAATTGCTTGTGCCATGTAGCTTACTCCTCTCTGAAACTCTTAGATCATGTAGATTTGGGCTTGATTCTACCTTCCTCCTCTTTTATATCCTCTAGTTGCCATACCACTTTGATGCAGCCATAATCGAAGACAGCAAGAAATCTCAAAAGAGGAGCCATCAACCAGTAATTGAGAATCACAGCTCAAGAACTCAAAAGTTTCATTACTGACATCAATAAAATTATGTATTTTATACGATTGACACATAATAGTTTATTTATAAGCATATCATCATCATCATAGTCTTTTCTTTTGAGGCTGGTTTGTTTATAAGCATGTCAACCCCTAAAACAGAACTTCACAATCCAAATAAACAATTTAAAACTCTAAAATACCCCTAATATCTAATAAATAACAAAACAATAGTTAATCCTAAAATTCGTTGCTATTTTCAGGCACATATTTTGGATTAAGATCTGAGGCCTAAAATAACAAAATTATTAAGAAATAGCTTTTGTAGATAACAAAGAGAACTTCAAATTGCAAATTTGCAACTTGAAACACCGTCATAGGACACACGAGTCAGATGTTATGATCCTTGGATAGTGAGTACATCAAAATCTTCACCAATTTTAGACGTAAAATTTTAGTTTGTTGGTAATCTCCAATACCATAGCAATGAATCTCTTAAAAAAACACACAAGGATTGTGAATGTCAAAGTTAGGTTATTTTATATTTTGTTTTTGCACCATTTATGCTGGTCCTTTTAAATTCTTGCAGGTCATCATATTTGCGCTATCTTTCAATTAAAATCAGTAGAAACATGTGTGTTTTAGACCCTAATTCCATTGATTTAAGGGCCGCATTTGAATAGAGCCTCATTTAAACTTCTCAATTCCAAAATTTTCCTTCTTTATATCGTATAAAAAAATAACAGTGTGCGTCTACTCAGGCACCACAACGACATATGGATGGCATTAAAGAATGGGCAGGCAAGGTCTATTTGCGGCTCACCTATGAAGCGCGTACATGCAATTTGCCATCTTTGGGCATATTTTGATTAAACGAGTGCATCTCTAGACATGGAGGATTTAACTGATTAAAACAGAATCATTTAATGGCAGATTTAATCTATTGATTACATGATAAATGGTTAAAAATATATTTGATGAATGGATTTTATCAATTAAATCATTTCCACATAATTGAAAGTTGGATTAAAAATGATTTCAAAGTCATATTTAAAATGATTCTAAATCAGATTTAAAATAAATTTGAATCAAATTCTAATAAATTTGTATTACATTTTGATTCAAAACTGTAAAATATAATAAAAACATATTCAATCTTTTTTGTGGATTTTTTATTGGAAAACCTTTATATAAGGTTGCAACCTTAAAATCTATAATTACATATGCACCTCAAAAATCTATCGAAAAAGGTTGTTTTAATGTTGAAAAAACCTCTAATTGATCATCTCAACATCGAGATGTATGAATATGTAAGAAAAAAAAGATTTTGAGTTTTAAAAATAGTGCATCTTGCAATACATTATTTAGACCATCTATTTTCAAGATTTTTATATATTTATAGATCT